TCTCTTCTCTTGGTAGTCATCCCTACATCATCCCCTCTCTTACTCTACAAGCTAGATGGAGAAGACCTCAAACAAACAAAAAAAATACACAAAAAAAGAACTTAGTCAACACATCTGATATGTAAACCTCTCCTTCCTTTTTTTATGTTTTTGAATCTTTTTTTTTATTATATACATAACCCATTGCTTGGATTAAAAAAAAAAAACTATACCTGTTCTTGTTCCTCTTTTTTTTTGAAAGAAAGCTTGCTCTTCTTCATTGGTCTCCTCCCTCCCTTCCCATCCCCCTTTCTTTTGTACTGTGCTGGGGGTTATCATCATCTCATCATCATCATCATCTTGGAGTTACAACTCTTTACATCTTTTTTTTTTTTTCAATGTTCTATTTGTTTCATTGGTCATTAACTACTATGACTAGAAATTGATTTGATTGTTGGATTTTTTTTTCCTGGTTGGGTGAGTGAGATTCCAAGTCGGTTTGTCTTGACTGTTTTGCGGTTTGAGGTAAACCCCTCAGAATCACAAAACATAAACATGATGTTGAAGTCAAATTTAAATGTATGTAGATCCAACAACCATGAGCAGGGTTCACCATAGTGTTTTTTGCTTCTTGCACCCACATAAAATTTTAAGCTAAAATAATGTTTGGGCAAGAAGCTGTGACCTTCTTGAAACCTAGACAGCTCATAAACATTTCAGCCAAAATCTCTTCTTCTTGAGCACCATGTCACCACAAGTCTTCACCTCCATCATTAGACATCAACACACACAACTCCACTCAAACATAAAAATGACTGAGGTAAGTCTTTTTCTTTTTCTTAGCAGACACCTAATCTGAAAATTTGCTTTACCAGATGATCAATCTGGACCCATCCATAGCAATGCCCTCATCCAATACTGAAGCACCATCCACACCGGTGCCTCAAGATGCAACTGGTTCCAATTGTCCTCAATCTCCTCAAATCCCACAGACCGTAGGAGTGAAACAAAGAAGAACAAAAAAAGGAAAATGGAAGTGTATCGTGCGGAATTGGCGATTAAGAAGCAAGCAAAACAGGCCGAGAAGGAGAGAGAAAAAGCTGAAAAGGAGAAGATGAAACTCCTGAAGAAGAAATCTGCTCAATCTCAAAGTCACGGGACTCATTTGCAATCAACTGGTAACGGGCAATCTCAATCTTCCACCACCAGTGACCCCAATGGGGCCTTCACGCTAGAGGATTATGAACTGATCTGTTCTTACCTTGAAGAACCAGGCAATTATTGCCGGCTATATGGAAGTGGGTCCCCAAGCACTCAGTAAGACGGCTGCCCACAACAGCTTTGCAATTTATATGAATAATAACTGCAATAAGTGATACACTTTCACTGGAACCCAGCTTCAACATTGCTTGGATTGACATAGAAAGAAATTTGCCCTTGCAAAGCAGTTCAGCAAGCATACTGGTGCTGGGCTTGAAGAGCTCAGTGGACGGTGTGGAACTACTCTTGGGATGAATAGAGCTTGAGAGGGATGAGTGCTTTATTGGGCTGCCTCTCTGATAACAAGAAAATATAAGAGTATGGACTCTTAAGGAAAGGTGTGGCTTTGGAGATTTCTTGAGGATGGTATGTCTAATATGTCTTATGTTTACTAGTCTAAATATACTTGTTCACAAATCAAGGTATCCCAAATGTTGATGGGCAAATACCTGGCTAATAATGGGTGATCAGTTATCTGGATTGCTGGGGCAGGATCTGATGAGGAACAAATGAAGAGGAAAAACAAAGCTCCTTATATACAAAATTCTGAGGAGTGGCCAGCTTGTGGTTGGAAGATAAATGGAACATTCTATGAGAGCATGAAACAAGAGAAAATATATTTATCCATAGAAACAGGGGAAATAGGCAGTGGGAAAATGCTCCCAAGGTTAATAGTATGAAACAAATAAGGGGTGGAATATTCCATGGAAGAAAATAGGAGGAAATAACTGTTTCATGGTTCAGGGGAATTGCTACTAGTGTGGAACACAAGGGGTAAGAAGAATAGAATATGTTTGGAGGGGAATGAGTTTCAGGGCTGTGGAGTTTCTGGTTGGGAAATATTATTATCCAGGTGGTCTGTGCTTGAGGGGATTCATGATTGGTTTTGGGGGTCTGGGGAGCTTTCTGGGGTGTCTTGATCCTGTGATTCCTCTGTGATTTGTACTCTTGATAACTTTGAATTTTCAGGAGTGGCTTACCACATCCACCCCCAAATTAGATGATGTCCCCATCATCCAGAAAAAAGAAAGAAAAGCCCATCCTGAAAATTCTGAAGAAAAAAAATATATTCTAAAAAAAAGAAAAGAACCTGGTCATAAATGTGGAAATTCATGATTTAGAAATAGTGCCAAAAAAGGGAAAAAAAACAAATCTATGGTTGTATATGTGGAGGAATTGTTTTTGTAATTTTATATTATGTAATGATTTTTTTTTTTTTTTTTGATTCATCAATTATTTATGAGAGACTCAGATATCTTGTATGTTCATGTAGCCCAGGAAAAAAAAGGGCAGAAGACTGGTGTGAAGAAAAAAAATTGAACAAAGACTAATGATGAGAATGAATTACTGGGGTCTAACCACCCCCAAATTAGAGGTGCAGGGAGTCTGGGAGTATTTGGAGAAGGTAACTGAAAAGTATCTATTTTTAGGGTTTTTAGAAGAGGAAGAAATTATGGTGAGGAAAAAGAGAAGGGGGCATCCACCCCCAAATTTTGAAGTTTGAGGGGTGATTCAGCATTCAACAGAATTGAGTCAGATTAGCCTTGTGTTTCAGTAAAAATTTCAAATTTTCTTCTCTCTTCTCTTCTTCTTCTTTTTTTTTTTTTTTTTTTTTTTTTTTTTTTTTTGAGAGAAATTCAAGTTCCATTTCCATTTTTTCTTCATGTCAGATGTCTTGTTGCAGATTTCTCATGATTTGTCTTGCTTTGGAGGTTGAAGGATATGTAGTTCTACTCTTCAACAGGAGAGTCTAGTCGGATTTGAAACAGCTTGTACAAGGCTACAGCCCAGGGGAGTGATAGGACGCAATTGTAAAAAGTTATGATATAGCCCGACAGCCAGGTGAAACCAACAACTAGGTGGCTTTGCTAGTGAGTTCAGTAAACATGTATTTGCTTGATCAGCCGATCGAGATTCTGGGTGCCCAATACTAAGTAGCGGTAGGCAATGACACAAGTCGGAAGCCTCCTCCTTGGATTCCATAGCGACAAGCCTTTGAAAAGGGTTGCAGACTTTCGGAAACAGCCAATGTTGCTTGCTGCTTCAGTATAAAAAAAAGATAAAGCTCTTTGCCTGAGGTCGGGCTTACTTCCCTCAAATTTATCTTGGCCTCGCTTCTTGCTATTCTTGGTGTGATTTCTATCCCCCATGATACCTGGGTCAAACAATCGAGCAAGGTGATTTGTGTAAGTCTTGATGCTTTCTTCCTGTGATAGGCAACTCCGACGTTGTCTGTTGAACAATTGACAGCTGATAACTGCTGAAGCAATTGGATTTTTGTTGATCTCTCTTTCTTTTGTTATCCTTCCTGATTTATCCTCCAAGCGAACCAAGGATACTGTAGATATCAATCCCCTTCTGTCGACTCCAGCTTGGCGAAGTACTTCTTCATTGTATACCAAAGGTTAGCTATGCATGTCTTCCTCGCTCTGCTGACTGAATCTATCTGATATCTTAACTAATTGATGGATCATGCTGCTGTGTCTGCTCTCTGTACGCGAAATATTTGCTCAAAACACAACGGTCTACCTGATCGTTTTATTTGTCTTGTTGAGAATCTACCTGTCTCCTGAACCATCCATTCGATTGCCTTTCTTCTCTTCCTATACTCTAAGGAAACTGAATCTGTAACTTCTGCTTTGGAGCTGTCTTTTGGCGAAATTGGTCGCTTCCATTGGTTGATTGGCCTCTCCTGCCAAGTCTTTTGAAAGTTCCAAAACATACCAGTCATCTTCAGCGATTTAAGTGGTAAGCCACTCCCGTTTGTTTGGATCTTCCAGTACAAATGATTGCTGATTGATCTCTGATTCCTGTTATCGTTCCGAAACAGGTAATGGATTTCAAGCAATACAAGGGCAGTCAATCTGACTTCCATAGCCCATGCTTTATTCAGAAGAATTCCAATCGATGGTGTGTATTCTAATTTTGTGATAGGAAGAATAATCTGATAGCAATTCGATCTTTGTCTTTCCTTGGATATTCCATTGGTCACTTCCCAATTGAAATGGTAATGAGGCCCTGTAGCTGGTGTGTATTTATTCCTGGTCGCTGAGACCGAGGTCATCGATTCTCCAGATTCCATGAGTTTTGAATACATTTTGACTTCTTTGAAGTGTCCTCCAAGTGACATCGGACTTCCTTTCCACGTATCGATATTCAGCATCAAGCCATCCAATCGAAGCAAATCAAATCCCTTTGCTTCAAGAGACATGTTCCCAAGCTTCTTGTTCTGATTCCAACATCGTAATCGTCCCAGGTGGTTCTGCTTGATACCAAAAGTTGAACACATCAAGCAGCAAAAAACCAGCAACAGAAGAGCATTCATACCAAAACTCCAGTTCAGTGGATAAGATATTGCTGATGACAGTTGAGATGATGAATTTTCTTCTGATTTTCTCAAACTACTCCTGTTGCATTCAGGTTCTCTTTTATTTGGTTTCCATTTATTAATGATCCAGGGAGGGAAAGGTGCAAATTGATGGTCTTCAGCTGCAGCAAGGAGTGCAAAAATTATTTTCCAGGATCTGATGCTAATTGATTTTATTCCCTTCTTGGCTTTTGCCACAGGTTTTCTCAGGCCAAGCTTTTCCAGGGTAACCAGAGGGGGATCCAGCAAATTTTGACTAATATCAGGGGGCTTGAAGGGTGGAAATATTTTCTGATGAAGGGATGATTGGTGAGTTGAAAGTGATATGGAATCTGAAGGGTTTTCCATAAAAGATACTGATTCAAAAAATGTCTCTGTTGTTTCACTAGGGTCCATCTGAAAGACATAATTATCCAATATTCCTGTTGATAAAGTTGCTTCCTTTGTGACATCCAAACAGAGTAATTCACATCCATGGACATCCAATGAGTTTAAATTGAAGTGGGAATAAACTTCTGGAAAAATCTTTTCTTGAGTTTCTGAGCTGGTATTATCTGTAGTTCCAATTCCTTCAGGTAAAAATACTGTGGAATTTATTGTGGGGTACTGAATTGACTGTACTGAATCCAAGGCTAATACATCCTCTGGTTTGATATTCTGACCAAATTTTTCCTCATTTTTCTCTTCCACCAGGGTTGTCAGGGAGTTTTGAAATTCAGGAATAGGATTAACTGGGATCTCTTCAACTTGGAATACTGGTAAAGTCTCTTCTGGGGAAATGGGTTCTGCAAAAAGTTCACTTTCTGATCCAAGATATACTGATTGATTTTTATCCAAGGGATCCAAATTCTGGCTATTTTCCAGGAGCTGAGGGAAAGATGCCAAGGTTACTGGTAATACTGTGGAGCAATTTTCTTCAATCAAGGTACATGGTAAGGATATTTCTGTAGGAATTTTGGCTGAAATAATTTCTGTTTCTGATCCAAATTTTTTTGTTCCTGTGTTGTCCAAGGGTTCCAAGGTTTCCAGGAATTGGTCAATTTCCAAGTTCAGGGGGCAGGCATCCAAAGTTGAAGAAAGTACTGGGGGGAAATTTTCTGTGAGTGGTAACTGGATTTCTGAGTTAAAATATTCCATGGGCCTTTGAGGGAATTGATTCTGATTGTTTTGTCCAATTTCTTGTGCAGATTGATCACAATCTTCCTGTATTTTGTCCAGTTTGTTGAACTCCCTGTCAATATACTCCAGAATAACACCATAGGATGGTGCCTCTGCAATATGAAAATTTGCTCCCAAAATCAAGTGACCATCCCAGATAAGTGGATCAGATATTAAAATTTCCAACTTTGGGCTGAGGGATCTCCAAAGGTAGTTTGAAAATTCATCCATGTGGAAATTGTGACCATTTCTGATGAGGTAGTGAGTGATTGCTTCAAATTGGATTCTGAATAGCTGGAGGTGTTCTAGATTTTTTATTCCTCCCATGCCTATAGTGGAGCTGACCAAACATTGCAAATCCTTTCTAGCATATTCCTCCTTGGTGAAAGGCATTCCATCTTTGGGTCTGTAGATAATGCTCAATTTTTCTGTTCTTTCCAGAAAGTGGATGGGGGTAGGTTTCTTGGCTTCCAGAGGGTGAGTTGGCTGAGTTGGAGTATTCTTTACTGGTTCTGGTGGTCCTGTATCCTGACTTTCTGTCCTGTGGTGGTAAAGGGGCTCTTGAATTTCCAATGGTTCCAGGTCATCACTTTCTGAGGGTTGGGGATGTCTCATTGGTCCAGGGTTAAAGGCTGGAGTATGGGCAGGTGGTTGGTAGAATGTGGTTCCAGGGTTATAGTACTTGTGCGGGGGTAGTTGAGGGGGTAAGACTTGTCCTCTCCAAGCTGGGATGACCAAATTGGCCATGTTGATCCTAGGGGTAGGTCCAGATAGGGATTTTCTTCTGGGTGGAAAATTCATGGTGGTGGAGGAGTTCTTGAGATTTCTACTGTTATAATATTGTTCCTGTTGATCCAGTGATATTTTTTTGATGCAGATTTACCAATGAAGATTTCTGCAGGGATTGATAAGGTATTTGAATTCTAAATTCTAATATGGTTGGTAGTAACTAGCTAATCTGTGACTGTATATTTAGCATAGAAACTGTAAGTGGTAGTGACTGAAAACCAAAGATCTGTTAGGCCACTGTTGGGACACCACTTGTGGAACTACTCTTGGGATGAATAGAGCTTGAGAGGGATGAGTGCTTTATTGGGCTGCCTCTCTGATAACAAGAAAATATAAGAGTATGGACTCTTAAGGAAAGGTGTGGCTTTGGAGATTTCTTGAGGATGGTATGTCTAATATGTCTTATGTTTACTAGTCTAAATATACTTGTTCACAAATCAAGGTATCCCAAATGTTGATGGGCAAATACCTGGCTAATAATGGGTGATCAGTTATCTGGATTGCTGGGGCAGGATCTGATGAGGAACAAATGAAGAGGAAAAACAAAGCTCCTTATATACAAAATTCTGAGGAGTGGCCAGCTTGTGGTTGGAAGATAAATGGAACATTCTATGAGAGCATGAAACAAGAGAAAATATATTTATCCATAGAAACAGGGGAAATAGGCAGTGGGAAAATGCTCCCAAGGTTAATAGTATGAAACAAATAAGGGGTGGAATATTCCATGGAAGAAAATAGGAGGAAATAACTGTTTCATGGTTCAGGGGAATTGCTACTAGTGTGGAACACAAGGGGTAAGAAGAATAGAATATGTTTGGAGGGGAATGAGTTTCAGGGCTGTGGAGTTTCTGGTTGGGAAATACTATTATCCATGTGGTCTGTGCTTGAGGGGATTCATGATTGGTTTTGGGGGTCTGGGGAGCTTTCTGGGGTGTCTTGATTGTGTGATTCTTCTGTGATTTGTGCTCTTGATAACTTTGAATTTTCAGGAGTGGCTTACCACAACGGAAGACTCTTGAAGAAGTGCTGGAGGTCAAATGCCCATTCTACAAGCGCATGGATGCAATATTTGGCAGCAAGCCAAATGTCACTCCATGCATGCATGCAGTATGACTCTGTCAACGGCACAAACCTCTATGCTGATACGCCTCCAAGTTCACCCAAAATAATGTATTCAGGATGGTCTCAAACTCCTCCAGCTGGTGACAAAATCTCAATAAATAACTTAGAGAGGGACCTGCCTTTGGTTTCGGATCTGACTGGAATTTCCCAAAGCTGATCATCATCAAACAACTTAAATCACATTGGTTCATACACAAACATGGACAATTTGTTGGACTTGTGCTTTGACAATGCAATCAATGTTGATCTAACTGCAGAAAACAAACGGCCTGCTGGTCAAACCAGCAAGGACATTGATCTTGAGAATGGCAGTGCACTTGGGCACTCACCAAGACCCTCAGATTCCTCTACATCTCAATCAACTTCAAATCGTCAACAAGGACACCGAGGATCAAGCTGACATCCAAACATACGGTTGCCAAGCAACTAGCCCGCCACACCCAGCAGACCTTCTCAGTCAAATGCCCAGAAGTCATCACTGGCTGCAGCATTTGAAAAAACCACAGATACTAAGCTGGCTCAGTTTGAACATCATGTGGACCAACAATTGGCTTGGGAAAGAGAAAAATACCTCCTGCAGCGTCAAGAGGATCTAATCAACTTTTGACGGAGCATTGCACAAGAGGAAGCCCGGGAGGAACGGATGGCAAGTAGGGAGGGTGTGAGATGGGAACACAAGGCTAGCCTTGATGAAAAAAGACATTTTCGGGAGCTCAAGAGGGACAACAACCAATTGCAATGGGAGAAAGAAAAGTTTAATTACAAGCATCAGGACTGGTCACAGCAACTGTCATTAATCCAGCAAATGATGGCTGAAGGCAAACCAACTGATGAGATTGGACACATCATGAGGCTCATTTGAAGAACATCACTCATCTTGCTTTTTTCACCCGTTATCTCTGGACTTTTTTGTTTGCTATCTGATTTAATCACACATATTTGTTCCTCATCTCTATATTTTTTTTCTTTCTTTACCACTCACTGTTTTTTTTCCTGGTCATTCCCCTCACAGTTTAGTCTGAACAAGTTTGAAATGATTGGATTCCTCTATACTCCAGACAAGCCTATATAACCTTGCTGGTCATTGACTGATCATAAAATCATTAGTGTACAAATCAGACAAAAGTGAACTCTCAAATAGGTGAATCAATGAAAAGAGATTGAAATGGATTTCCTTCTGCAAGACATACATTCAAAAAAAAAAAAAAAAAAAAAAAAGATTTGTATATTTATGATTTGGGCCTTGATGAAAAAATATCAAAAAGTGACGCCAATGGGGCTTGAACCTGTGTGTGACCTCAGTCATCTGTACAAGTATTCCAAAAATTTTCCTGTGGCACCAAGGTTTATCTATAAACTGGTTGGCTGGCACCTCTTTGTTGGATAGTGTTTTGGTCTTCAGGCTGATCATAGTCTTGACTAGATTCTGCCTTGTGCATGGGAACAGCACTGGGCTGCTACGCTACACTAAACTTTTTGCCCAAAAAGCGTTAGCGTAGCAGTCCTTTTTGCGCGCCGGATTCACATAGTGTTAGCAAAAAGTTAGCAACTTTTTGCTACGCTACGCTGTGCTACAGGCCGCTAACGGCTGCTACACAGCCAAAACACCGCTAACCAGCGCGTTAGCGCAGCATAGCAAGCCCTTTTTGAGGGCCTGCACGCGTAGCGTTAGCGTGGACGTGGTGGAATTCCGCTACGCTACACTATAGTTGCGTGGAATTCCATTACGTCATGCTGCGCTACCCACTAAAGTTGGTGTAGCTGGCCCAGCATTG